TAAGTTTCTATTAAATAAATGAAATAATGACGGAGACCCAAGAAATGGATGACAAGTAGCATAAGACCTGAATAATAAGGAGAATTTCAATAGGAAAATGGCAATGAAGGACATTCCTGTAGAAGGGACTTTGCGAATCGTTGTGGGGGAGGGGTGTCAGAGAACTCTGAGGAAACGCGTGAGGATGGACCTCTGGTTGTCAGGTGTGGTGGAAAGTATAAGGCATGGGAAGGTATGTGAGAGTCCGGGCATAGACGGCCTGGACTGCCAGGCTGTGATGGATTTTGTTTGTAGGCAAGGAGGAGCCAGTGATGTTTGTGACACGGGGAAGTGACAAGACCAGAGCTGCTCTGTTCATTAGTTCTGAGTGAGAAGTAATGCGGGTGTTGGCAGTGAAAATGAAAAGGAGGTGACAGATTGGAGGGAACCTACAGAGAGGGAATGGGCAGGACCTGACCATGAGTAGCTGAATGCTTTCCAAGAAGTGTTCCAGAATCTGCTTCAAAGTCTCCTGGGGTGTGAAGCAGCAGTGCCCTCCAGCCCCGAGGGTCCGTGTGTCCAGGGACCGGCCCTGGGGATCTGCATGCGAACAACCGCCCTGAGTTTTCATCATGCTCACTCAAGTCTGCACTGTTAGGCCGGGGTCTACGTACCGGGACATACTGGGTACCCGAATAAGATTCTGAATGACAGCATGTGTCAGAGTCCTGAGGCTTTGACCATGGGCAAGTGGTGAAACGACGGCACCATTAACAGGCAGAGGGGGGTCAAGAGGAAGAGACAGGTTTGGGAGAGAAAGATGATGTGTTTGGTTCAGCTCTAGCGGGTTAGTTAGAGACAGCAGCAGGCCTCAGAACCAAAGTTGTGGGACAAAGAGAGATGGTGGGATTTCCTGGTCTGATTATCTTCAGAGCCCACTCCATCTGGAATGGGCTAGTCCTGGACCTTTCTATAATCAGGACCATAAAGTAGAGGATCTGAGGAAATCCATGTGGTGCTAAGGTTCAGCGTCCAAGGAAAAGGCCTCTAATATGATAAGGATAAAGGAGGAAAGAAAGAGAAAATCAGTTTTTCCTGGCAACCCAGACACCTGCACTCCAAAGCACCCAAGGTGTTTTGGCTCCTGGGTGATGGGAGAAAACACCTTTCAGGCATGACCCGAGGTCTCCTGGGCATTTCACCCACGTCTATGCAACACTGTGTTACAGCATATGCAATGCCCAAGAAATCCTGCCTCTCTTACCAGCATCTCTCATCCCCGCTGGAATGCCCCATGAGGACAAAAGCTTGGGTGTTTGTTATTGCTGTACCCCACATGCCTGGAATAGAGCCTGCATGAAGTCGGTGCTCCCCATATAAAGGAGTAGAGTATGGGGCTCTTGATTTGGAACCTCAGTTCTGCCACTGACTAGCTGGCAACCTTTGAGCAACTTAATGCCTTTCAACTCACTTCCTTTCCTATGGAATGGAAACAACAATAGGTCTTTCATAAGATCGCTGGGAGGACTGAACAAGATAATGTGTGCAACGTGCTTGGCGCATTCCCCACACTGTAACTATCAGGTGGTCATCATGACCTTTGCCTCCTCCATTCCTGTGCTCACAGAGAATGGAGGGTACTGTGGGGTGGGGGTGGGAGCTAAAAATCAGCTTCTGTCAAACCCTTTAACCTCTCTCCATGTGACCCTCTCACCACATTAAAGGCACAAAAGAGGCTGAAGTTGCACAGAAAACCAAGCTGGAAAGATCCCTCCCTTACACCAGGCCCCTTCTTAGTGGTGTCATCACTGGTGCAGGGGCCAAATGAGTTCACCTGCGGATCTGCATGATGGGAAGAAAGGAGCCAGAAGGAATCTTAAGGGTGCCTTTCATTCTACAGAGGGCTGAGCAGTTAAGGGATTTGGTCAAGGTCACATCGTAAGCCAATGAGTCCGGAATGAGAGCTGGAGTCATGTCTCCCCTTCCCAGCCTGGGTCTTCCCCCATTCTGATGCTGGGGCCCTGGAGATGGCAGCGATCAGGTGTGTCGGAAGACACAGGGGAAACTTATACTGAAGTACAGAGCTCTAGTCACCGTCCTACAACAGGAAAAGGTCAGCCCAGTCAAGGTAAATGACCGTCGGTGGAGAGCACCCAACCAAGGCTCTTGGAAGCAGCCAAGACCCAATCACTTCCATCTTTCCCCATCTCTTCCCTTCCTCCAGATTGACTGGCTCAAAATGCTGAGAGGAGACCAGTACAGAATGCAAATAACCTCAGACTGGGAGGTGATCTGGAGACAAGGGCCCAGGGCAAACAGAGGGGGGCAGAGGGTGTCTGCAAACTTCTAGTCATCTCCCTGGAGACAGGCTGGATGAGGTGGGAGCCCAGGGGAGCAGAGAGTCTGAGGACCTCCTCTGCAGCAGGGCAGGCCACTTCTGAAAAAACAAAGCTCCCATGTCAGGGAACGTCCCCACATAGAAGAGCTAAGAAAAAAAAGAGAGGAATCGCCTCTAGGCAGGGGACTTCCAGCTCTCCTTTGTTTATGGGGGGTGTTTCTGGTTCCCAGCTTCAAACTGTGGTGGGGCACTGTGGGTAATTTAATTAAACATTGCAAGTGCTTGGCCGAGGTTGCCTGGGAGCTGGTGGTTTAAAGTTCCTACCCTGTCACAGCCTCATCAATGAGCTATATTGAGAGGAACTCTGTGTCTGTCGGTGAAGAAGAGAGGTGGGGGCTCCAAGCCCAGAAACCCAGAGATCCTATTCTACTTTGACAAGCTCCCCGACAGACCCAGCATTCCTGGGAATTCAGCCCAGCGCCTCTAGCACCCAGTGCAGGGCCTGGCACTGAGGAGGGAGGTGCTCGGTAAGCGAACAACTGACCATTAGAGCCAGTGGGTGAGACCGAAGCAATCTGAGTGTGAGCCTCGAGACAGACAAGAATGTGAAACACACCCTGAGGCCGTATTTCAAATGATCCAGGGCCAGCTCCCTGTCTCTGGTCTAAACTCTGAGGAGCCTGGTCACTCTTCTCTGAGGACAGGCTGACCACCGCCTGCTGGCTGGCCTTGGACTGAACTGCGAGCTATCAGGTAGTGGTCAGCCTGTCCTCAGGGAGGAGCGATCAGACCCGGGGGACGTAGCTTCCCTCCTTCAATGCAATTTTCTCCAGAACTTGACTTCTGTAGGAAGGGTCCTTCAGGCTATGACCCTTTCTAGGCACCGGGCCCATTATAGATATCCCTAAACACTGATTAAACTTTCTCCCTTCCCAAATGTGGGACAAGGGCTGGGACCTTTGTGCCACCAGGGTGGTTCTCCATATGCTGTGGAGCTTTGGTTTCAACTAGAAAAGCTCACACTTGCCTGTTTATTTTGAGCAGCACTGAAGCTCCCTGTCAGGTGTCTTAACTGCTGGTCTCTCCACCCACCTCCAGGTCTCAGCTGTCCCTTTCTCCAGACACATACCCTCCCCCCAATCTGACGCCTCCACCCTCACCTCCACAACCTCTGTCCAAATTGCACAATTTCGTTCTCTCCCTCCCCCTCAGCCACACTTAATCCTCTTTCTCAATCTCCCCCAGATCCTCCTTACTCCCTCCTCCTCTCACTTTCCCAGCTCCCCCCTCTCCCTTTCCCACCGGGGCTTAAGCCCCCCCAGATGATACCACTTCTGGGAGCCTTTCCCCAGAAAACTTTCCTCATTGGGCCAGTGTGTGCAAAGCCCTTGGCAAAGGGGTTGTTGGAGTCATGACCAAAGATGGGGGCATGAGAGTGGAAAGACACCCCTTTCCCATGACAATCCCAATTAGCGCACAGGATGTGGGGGCTTTCCAAGGGGGCTTAGATGCCCGGCTCCAACAGCTGTTCTCTGACCTTCTGGGACGCTTCCAGGGGTCCCCTCTAGTCCCTCCTCCCCACACCTGCCTCTCCAGGCTCCTCCTCACACTCTTGGGAAAGTCAAGCCAGAATTCCAGAAACCAACCCCCACCCTCATGAGGAGACCGCATGGAGACACGCTTGTCCCGAGTCATCCATTAAGCCTGGACACACTGGGCCAAGCAAAGACACGCCGCTCTGCCCTGCCCTCCCGCCCATGACCCGCCACCCAGGCAGGCTCTCTTTCTTGCTCCGACACGGGCAAGCTGGTCAGCTGGGAAGGGGGATGGCGGTGGCTGCTGTGGCAACTGGCTTCTTATGAAAAGATAGGAGTGTAGCGCTGGGGGAGGCCCGAGTGTCCCTCCTGGGCGAGGATTTCGGGAGGAAGCTCGGGGCAGTTTCTCCTCAGGCGGCCGCCGCCTCCTCCCTCGCGGACAAAGGGAGCTGAGCGGCTGCCCTGCCAGGCATTCCGAAGAAGCCGTGTCCCTCCCCCTCCCGTCTCCATCTGCGCCGGCCTGTTGCTTCGGCACTCGGAGTGCACAAGCAGCCGCACTCGCCAAGCCACCGCATCCAGGGTGCTCCATGCTCTGGAATGCCCCCAACTCCATCTGTCCTCCCCGGGATCCCAGCCCTTCCCGTTCGAGGCTACAGCTAGAATCTCCGGGCAATTCCCCCCAGATCCCACACCCAGGACCCCACACACGAGGGGCAGAGGCAGTAAGGTGGGTGACAAGGGGGACAGGTGGCAGGCCCAAGGGTGCCTGGGGGGCAAAGCAGGGTCAGCCGACGTTTGAGCAGCAGTTGCAGGAAGCCTTTGCTCCGGGCTGGGATTGCTTGAGGGCGGGGCGGGCCCAGAATTTCCACAGGGGAGGACTTGGGGGCTGCCACGGGCTTCTAGGGGGACGTAAAACGGGGGTTGTTAGGGGATCGGGTGCAGTTGGGTTTGCATAACCAGAACACAGATACTAATTGCATGGACGCTGACCGCAGGGGGTATCTTAAGAGGATGACGGGGAGGAGAGGGCCCCCTCCACGACCACCTCCGGGCGACACCACTGCACGGAGGTGCGGCCTGGGTGGGCCCCGGTAGGCTCGCGCCCGCGGAGATCGCAGGGCGGGGAGGGGCAGGGGCAGCAGGCTCACCCGTGTCCTGGCGGAACTGGTTCATGGACTGCAGGTCGATGATGTAGGGCGCCAGCCGGCTGTCCACCTGGCCCAGCACCACGCTGCCCCCGGCGCGGGGGCCGGCGCGGACCACCGCCTCGATGTGGTGGCTCACCGCGGGGCTGTAGGGACGCCAGCGGCCGTGCTCGTTCAGCCATTCCCAGACCACCACCGCCGAGGCCAGGAGCATGGCGAGCCCGGGGCTGCGGCGGCGCTGCGCTGTCCCCCTCCCGGGCCGGGCACGCCCGCCCTCCTCCGCTTCCTCCTGCGCCGCCGCCTCCGGGCCTCGACCGCGCCCCCAGCCCCGCGCCCCGACGCCCCGGGCAGCCTCAGCTCCGGCCCACGGGCCGCTCCCCAGCCGCGCATCCACCGGGGCCCGGAGACAGAGGCCGCCTGGCTTCGACCGCGCGCCGCCGCCGCCGGGCTCCGCCGCTGCTGCCGCTGCTCCGTGGGGTCGAGTGGCTTCATGCAAATATCCGGCTCTCCGCAAACAGGCCCCCGCCTTGCAAAGCCACCCGGCGGGCGCGCGGCCGGAGCCCCGGCGGCCGCGAGCTGGCGCTGAGGGCAAGACCGGGACTGAGCCCTCGCACCAGTTGCGCCTCGGGCTCCGCAGTCGCCGGGGTGGGATCTCGCCGCGCGCTCGCGCCCGGACTGGCACGCTGTGTTTCCCTCCCCTCGCTCCTCTCCCTCCCCGCCCTTTCGCCGCACGAAATGCTGTCGCTGCCTCGGCGAGAGCTCCCCCTCCCTGTGGCTCTGCCTAGTCGCTTCCAGAATGAATCGCCCCTCCCCAGCGGGGCGCTAAGGCAAACCCGAGTCTGCGAGGGTTTCCCCAGTCCCTAGACGCCGAAAAGCTACCGGCCATGACGCGGCCCCGAGACCGCAGCTGTCGCCCGGCTTCAACTTTGCAGCTTCCTTTCCAGGAATGGAATTTTTTTTTCTTTTAATTTAATACAGCGTGATCGGCTTCCGCAGCGCGAGCTCCGAGACACGCAGTGTCTCCGGCTTGTGCACGCACTCGCGCTCTCACACTTGCACACACAGGCGCCCACACCCCCACGACCTCCTTGCTCCGGCTGCTATTACCTCATCTTCGCCCGCATCCTCAGCTGTCTGTCAAGCCTGCAGAGCCACACCCCTCGACTGCTCCGGCAGGTGCCCTGGAGCTCACACGCCCCCTGCTGGCCCAAGGCGAGGCGAGCCGGCCAGTGGCCACACACTATATACTGCTCAACTCCAACCTTTCCTCCTGAGACCCACTCCAAAGGGATGCAGCAATTTGGTGAATGATGGATTTATATCGTCTATGTCGAGAACAAATGTGGTTGTTCTGGCCTGCTCTGATGTCACTAGAGTCAAGAAGACATGTGCTAAATTGATTTATCCTGCAGGGTTTCTGTAACCAAAATAATGAGACACTAGGACAGACACAAGCTAGACTTGGTTATTTTGGTCACCAATCGTTAATGTGTAAAATAATCTAAAAGGGCTGATTGACATCCGGATTACATGCTAACATTTCCAGAGAGTGCAAACTTTGTTTTGCTGAGGTTGCAACCACATAAAATAATGAATTTATATGATAGAGATCCAGGATAGGATATGGAAAAATTAAAATAGACTATATGTTAGGGACTGGGGTTATGAGTCTTTCTGAAGTAATCGCTCCCTTTCATAATATCACATAATCATTTTTTGTTTTGGAAGATTGGCTTTCCCCCTCTCTTTCTTGGGCTCCCTTGAATGACAGCTGTCCTTTTCATCATCATTAGTATTTTCTATATCTATTTCATTCCTTATCTTCTTCACCACAGGGTTCTAACTGCAAAGCAAAAGAAAAAAAATATCGTACATGCTCTTCTTCAACCCTCCAAAAGCACAGGCCGGGGCTACCTCTGAGTTTCGTTCTTGCTAGCGATGCCCTTGCCCAGAAATCTCCCCAGCAGGACCACCACACACTCCAGTCTCCCTTAAGGCCAGTCTCCCAACCCAACTCAATCAACACCGTTCATTAAAACATCAAATTCTAGGGTTTGAATTTGGACAAAAGGAAAGCAAGTAAAGGATACCTCAATTAATCCCACCGAGAGCCAATATTATTCCCATCTCACTAATGACAAGGTTTAGAGAACTTATGCAGTTTGCCCCAGATATTTATCCGGAAGGAAATTGATATTTGCAACTTAGTTGGGCTCCAAAAAAAGTAACAGGTGTTCTATGGTGAGGAGGTGTTGCAATTACAGGCAAGGCAGGTGTCAATGTCAAAGTGTCTCAACGTCAAAGAAAGGAGCGGAGAAAATGAGGTTAAAGTCTTCAGGAAGAACATCAGTAGCATTGAAGAAAAGGTGATCTAAAGTTTATTGAACCAGTTTTACCTCCATTCCTGAGACTGAGAGTACACAGAACGCTGGAAACTTTCTTGTAGAGTGGATAGGTGTACATCGAGCAACTATCCGTGGTGATTCAAGGGGATACTGGAAGTGTCAGGAGAAACCAGCACCTGACCAGCTAAACCAGAAATTCCAAGGTGGAAAAAGATAAGGGGGCGATTGACAAATGTTAAACAGGCTATTTAAAAGGTGAATGTAAAGCAGAAAGAAACTGGCTCTAACCAATGTTCAGCCTGATTTTGCACCTGGTCTTCCTATAGCTGCCATGGTAAACATGGCAGAGTATTACAGAACAAAAATAAATGCCTGAAAACACACGAGAGGGTTTGTATACAGCCTGCTTCATTTGCAAGAGGAAGTGACTATTTAGATGACTTGACATTAGTAATCAATTACGGTTGTAAGATATGTGTATTTTTGATAAGCTATGATAATTTAGAATTCATGATAACCCACTTGGCATTAACAATTTATAACTACACGTCAATAATAATAGTAATATATTTGTATTTATAATACTTAGATCTTCCAAGACAATCCTAATTCTAAATAATCTGTACCATGCCTGAAAATCTCAGACATTCCATTTTGGTATCCACGCTATGTCTCCCGAATTGCCACCTGTTCCACTCATAAGCGGCAGAATAGTCTTTAACCAAATGCTGTGCCCAATTCGTAATTTGGAATACGGCAGCTATAATAAAACCCCACTAATTAAGACTGACTGGAATAAATCCAGTCTCAGTTGTTCAAAGGTATAATTTGATGATACTTCAAAAAACGCCATAATTGCTTAACATTAAGTTGCAATGAAAAAACAATTTTTTTTCTTTTTCTGTGTGGAACATTCACAGACAAAAGTCATCCTTCCCCCCGCCGCCCCTGGCCCCAGTTACCTATTGCTCTGTTACAAGCTGCCCTAAAATTAGTTGCTGAAAACAGCAACAAGCATCTATTTGGCACACAATCTGCAATTTGGGGAGGGCTCGATGGTGACAGCTAGTCTCTGCCCCACGTGGAACTCAAGGCAGCTTGAAGAACGGCTGGGGCTGGAGTCACCTGTAGGCTTGCTCATTCACATGTCTAATGCTGGATGCTGGCCGTCACCTGGGAACTTGGCTAAGGCTATAGCCCAAGCACCTACTCATGGCCTGTCTGTGTTGCTGATTGGCTTCTTCTCAGCATAGAGGTAGCTGGGATCCAAATGAACGTGACCCAAGAGAAAGAGCTGGACAGAAACTGCACTGCCTTTTTGTAAAAATTATGATTTGTATTTTGAAATAACTGTAGATCTACATTCAGTTGTAAGAAATAACACAGAGAGATACCATGTACCCTCTTCCCCCATGTTACCCAAAGGTAGCTAACATCTTGATAAAACTATACTTTGAAAATTATAGTACATCACTACTGATATTGACAGAGTGAAGATACAGAGTAGTTACAATTCTGCTCCTTGATTGATACAATATAATTGTATCATATACAATATGTTATTATATTATTTCTATACTAAGTGTTATATATTACATATATAGTATATATTTTACATTATATAATATACATTTTGTATACAGATGTATGCAATATAGTTTCTATCACCACAAGGAACCATCATTTCGCCCTTTTATAGTCACATTCAATCTTCCCCCTACCACCCTGTCCTTAAACCCTAGCAATCACTAACATGTTCTTCATGTCTATAATTTTGTCAATTCAAGAATGTTATGTAAATAGAATCATAATATGTACCTCTTATGTTAGTATAGTACATTTGCTACAATTGATAAGCCAATATTGATACTTATTATTGATGAAAGTCCATATTTTACATTAGAGTTCACTGTTGGTATTGTACAGTCTATGGGTTTTATCATGGAACCCATAGAACAGAGGTAGTAGTATCTCATTGCTGTTTTAAATTGCAATTTTATAATACCACATGACATTGATTGTCTTTCGACCTACTGATTTGCTATTTGTTTTTGGTGAAATGTCTGTTAAGGTCTTCGGCTCATCTTTTTAATTGGGTTCTTATTTTTCTTATTGTTGAGTTTTAAAAGTTCTTTGTATGTTTTAGAAAAACAGTCCTTTACCAGATGTGTCTTTCACAAATATTTTATCTCAACCTGTGGCTTGTCTTTTCATGATTGCTCTCTCACTATATCTCTGTCTCTGTTTAAGGAGTGGGTGCTTGCCCCACCTGGCCTGCTGCAGGTGCCACAGGGCCCACGGGTGCCAGGCAGTGCCTTGGCATCCCAGTGCTCAGGCTCACCAGACGATCTCCAGCCTTGCCCATCACTTACCCCTGCACCATGCAGCAATGCCTTCAGGTCCTTAACAGCGTCTTTCACAGGGCAGACACTTTAAATTTTAAGTCAGACATCATGATTTTTTTCTTTCATGGATTATGCTTTTGTGTTGTAACTAAGAAGACATTACCAAATCCAAGGTCACCTAGATTCTCCTTTGTTGGCTTCTAGGAGGTTTTGTTTTTTATGCTTTACACGTTGGTCTATAATCCATTTTTAGTTAATTTTTGTGAAAGGTGTAAAGTCTGTGTCTAGACTCACTTTTTCTTTGTGTGTGTGTGTGTGTGTGTGTGTGTGTGTGTGTGCATGGGATGTCCTGTTGTCTTAGCACCATTTGTGGGAGAGACTATTTTTACTCCATTGTATTGCTTTGTTCCTTTGTCAAAGATCAGTTGGCTACATTTATGAGAGTCTATTCCTTGGTTCTTTATTTTGTTCCATTGATCTACTTGTCTATTCTGTCACCAATACCACACTGTCTTGATGACTGAAGCTTTATAATAAGTCTTGAAGTTTAGTAGTTACAGTCCTCTAACTAGATTGCTATTCTCCTTCAATATTGTGTTGGCTATTCTGGGTCTTTTGGCTTTCCTAATAAACTTTAGTATTAATTGGTAAATATCCACAAAATAACTTGCTGGGAGTTTGATTGGCATTACATTGATTAGTTGGAAAGAACTGACAACTTGACAATATTGATTCTTCCTCTACTTGTATAGAGGAATATCTCTACAATTTGTTTAGATTTTTCTTTGATTTCTTTCATCAGAATTTTCCTCATACCGATCTTATACTTATTTTATTAGATTTATGGCTAAGTATTTCTCTTTTTGGGGTGGTGGTGGTGGTAAAGTAAATGATATTATTTCAAATTCCAATTATTCATTACTGGTGTATAAGAAAGCAATTGACTTTTGCATATTAACTGTGTATCTTGCAACTTTAGTTCCAGGAGTTTTTCTGTTGTTGACTCTTTGGGATTTTGTACATAGTACAAAGACAGTCATGTCATCTGTGAACAAAGATAGTTTTATTTTTTTCTTCCTAATTAGTGTACCTGTTACTTCCTTTTCTTATCTCATTGCATTCTCTAGGACTTCCAGAATGATATTAAATGTGTGGTGAAAGCAGACATCCTTGCCTTGTTTCTGATCTCAGCAGAAAAGCATCTAGTTTCTCACCATGAACTACGATCTTAGCTGTAGGTGTTTTGTTTGTTTGTTTGTTTGTTTGTTTGTTTTGTATATGTTCTTTGTATACTTGAGGGAGTTCCCTCCTAGGTTGCTTGGAGTTTTCATAAACAGGTGTTGGGTTTTGTCAAGTGCTTTTTCTGCATCTATTGATATGATCATATGGTTTTTATTCTTTAGCCTGTTGATATGATGGATTACATCAATAAACTTTAATGTTCAATCAGCCTGGAATAAGTCCCACATCTTTGCTGATTTGAATTTGTATCGTTGCAATGCAATAAACCATAACCATGAATATAACAGTTTTCTGAGTTCTATGAATCTTTTATCAAATTATTGAACCTGAAGGTGACCTTTGGGACCTTCTGAACTTGTACCCTGTAACAGTCTTGGCCAACAGGGAGCTCAGGAGCTAAAATGGACAAGCAGAGATGCCCCACATTTGCCATGTAACCTAACATAGTCACAGGTCCTGGGAATTAGAATGTGGACATCTTTGCAGGGATGCTCCCCGCTTTGCTCATGCAACTAATTTGTGATCTTTTGTCCTGCTCATATTCAGTCCTGGGTTGTCACCTCCACACTATAAGAGACAGTTTTTGGCCACACCGGATGTTATGACTTGGTAAGTCCGATAAGACTCACCACATAATGGGCAGTTCTGGATGCATAATCCTTGATGTCTCAAGGCAGGTGTTCCATCTTTACCAGGGCAACAGCACACCAGGAGTTGTTATTAAAAAGGCATATGTTCCCACTGCAAATG